TCTTCCTCCTCCTCCTTAGCCTACTCAACATGAAGATGAAGAGGATGAAGATCCTTATGATGATCCACTTCCACTTAATAGTAAATATATTTTGTCTTCCTTATGATTTTCTTAATAACATTTTCTCTAGCTTCATTGTAAGAATACAGTATATAATAGATATAACATACAAAATATGTGTTAATTGGCTGTTGATGTTATAGGGAAGGCTTCTGGTCAGTAGTAGGCTATTAGTAGTTAAGTTTTGAGGGAGTTAGATGTTATACACATGGGGAGCTGGTACCCTTAACTGCCATGCTGTTTAAGGGTCAACTGTATAAAGTATGACAGAAAAGAGGAACAGAAGATAAACCCCAAATTTTCAGCATCTCATGGAATTTCAGAGTAAGACTATACAGAGTACAGAAAGGGGGAAATAAAAATAATTTTTTCCAAGATGAAGGAAACTACATATCTTTGACCAAAAGAACCCTCAAAGTACCTAAAAAGATAAACAAAAAGTTGTATACCTAGATGCATCCAAAGGGTAAAAGGGAAATATTAAACATTTCCAAAGAGCAAACATAGGTTTCCTATAAAGAAATGCAATCAGATTGGAATCAGACTTCTTACTGGCAACAATGGGCCTAGAGGGCAATGAGTAGTATCTTCAAAGATTTAAGGGAAAACCATTTTAAGGCTCGAATTCTCTACTCAACCAAACTAGCATTCAAGTATGAAAGATAATTTTGGGTGTTTAGGGACTCATCTACTTCACACAAACCCTCTTTGAAAGAATCATTCAAATTGCAAACTGAAAAGCAACATAGAATGGGAAGCTATTTTTGTGACAGCAAGAAAGGGAAATATTTCTTAAATAAGAACCTAAAAGCACATACTATAAGGTAAAATTGGATAGATTTGGTGTTATGGCTGATATGTCACCCTCAAATTTATATGTTGAAGTCCTAATATCCAGTACCTCAGATTATGACTGTATTTGGAGATATGGTCTTTAGAGAGGTAATTCAGTTTAAATGAGGACATTAGGGTAGGCCCTAATCCAATCTGACTGGTACCCTTCTAAGAAGAGATTAGGGAACAGACAACACAGAGGGACGGCCATGTGAGGACACAGCGAGAAGGTGGCCATCTGCAAGCCAAGGAAAGAGGCCTTAGAAGAAACCAAACCTGCCAACACCCTTATTTCAAACTTCTAGCCTTTAGAATTGTGAAAAAATAAATTTCTGTTGTTTAAGCCATGCAGTCTGTGGTATTTTGTTATGGCAGCCCCGGCAAACTAATGCATTTGGCTAAATCAAAATTAAGAATTTCTTTTAAAAATTTCATCTGTACCATTATAAAGTTAACTGGTAATTACAGAATAAAAGAAGATATTCAAAGCATTAAAACTTTCCAGAGATACGAAATGCCAGTTCACAGAAGTTGAAAACCAAATAGCTAGGTAAATGGAGAAATGCTTAACATCACCAGTAGATAAAAAAATGTGCATCGAAAATAATGAAATAACACTTTATACCTACCAGAATAGCCAAAGTTAGAAAAATGATAAAGCCAGATAATACCAAGTGTTGGCAAGGCTGTAGGGAAATAATCCTTATGTACTACTGGTGTGAGTGTACACTAGAGCAACCACTTTGAAGAATACTCAGGCAGCACTTATTTAAACTATGTATGCATATACTCTGTCATCCATCAATCCCATTCCTAGATAAATGTTTCAGGAAAACTCTGGCACAGAGGTATATGCAAAAGACACACACAAGGTTGTTCACTGTAACACTATTTGTATATAGTAAGAGAGTTGTAGGTAACCTAGGTGTCCATCAGTGAGAGAACAGATAAGTGAAATGTGGTTACAGCATATATTGTGGAATACTATGCATTAGTAAAAAGCAAATAACTAGATGGACATATAGCAACAAGATCTTAAAAACAATGTTGAGTGAAAAAAATTAAGCACTAGAAAGAGCTTGGTAGCCTATTACCATTATGTAAATGTAAATTAAAAACACATTACACATAAAATATTTATTTTACAAAGGTACATACATATATCCAGGAAAATACATCTAAGACAAGAGTAGATATTTGTATGAAAATGGGAGTAGGGATTAAGGATGAAGGAAAAAAAAAACAAAAGAGGGCAAGAGGAGCTTTGCACAGACTAATAATTACTCTGTACTATGACCTGAGTTGTATTGTTCTAAGTTATATACACACAATAAATAATCTAAGAAAGAGGAAGATTTGAGATGCAGGCAGCTATGATGAGCAAAGAAGTAAAACTAAGAGTTTAATCTCTCAGTCTAAAGAATTGTCGACATATAATTTAAAAACTTAAAACCGATCTAAATTAATTAGGGTTTATTACATTATGGGAAGAGATGGGAGTAAGGTGGAATAGACAGACACATATTAAGATTTTCTTCTTATTAAAGAGGAAGACTTGGATTTGGTTGATTTTACGTACTGATAGACAAAGGTGAATTTAAAACATGGATTTAAAGTTTTAGGGAGCCATTAGAAATACAGACATGAGATGTTATTACATTAAACAATTAGAGGAAAAAATTAGAATTAAAACTCAGTGCTCATAAAAAGAATAAAAAAGGAAAAAATCATAGGTAAATAGAAAACATACTAATGGTAGAAATAAGGTGAAACATATCAATAATGTGAGTTAAATTCTTCTATTAAAAGAAAAAAACCCATACTGGGAAAAATATGCAGTGCTATACTGTTTTTGTTATATCCTAAAATAAATATTCATATCAAACAAAATAGAGGCCCAAGTTAAGGCTAAAATTATTAAGATAAGATGGGATATTTTACAGTAATTAAAAGATACAATCTACACTTGAGCCCAGGAGTTCGAGGCTGCTGTAAGCTATGAGTACGCCATTGTGCTCCAGCCTGGGCAACAGAGAGAGACCCTGCCTCAAAAAATAAAAACAAAAAGACACAATCTACCAAGATGAAAGTCACAAACCTAATAACAGAGAATTGAGCCAATTTAACAGTAAAAAATGCCAGAAATGCAAGGAGATATTGACAAATCCAAACAGTGGTGAGAGACTTTAATGTACCTGTTTCCAAAGTTAACAAACCAAGCAGAAAAGTATTTTTAGGGAGAATCTGAATAACATAATTGTGCCATTTATTAAGTTACTATTTTTTTTTTTTTTACTTCCAAACCCACCCTTCTCTATTCTGCTTTGGGCTGCTGGAGCTGGGGCTCTGAATACCATATTTCTGCTTTGCCAGCTGGTTTCCTGTTAGACTGACAACAGGAGTGGTGCTGCTAGAGGGAGACTGCAAAGCTGGAAGAGGAAGAAGGGGCCTGTTTCCGCCTATCTGCTTCCCACAGGTTTCCTGACTGCTTGTGATTCCTGTGAATGCCATCAGAATAATGGTTATTTATTCATTTTTTTTTACCCTAGCAGCAGCAGGTCTCTCCCCAAAAGCAGCTGAATCCAGTTTGCAGTTTCCCCAACTTGTACAAACCAGCTTCATTTTGACCCTTCCACAGACACCAGCAGCAGATGGTTAGTATCCTCTCCTCAGAGACCTGAGTCTCAGCTCCACAAGGCCCATCACAGCTCAGAGACACCAGCAGCTGAGCAGTACCTCTTCCTCCGAGATCTAAGTTTTGGGTCAAAGGGTTCCTTCTCTAAGCTTCTATATTTTAATCATTTTAACCTCTTCCTACAAAGAAAAATGCTGGCTCAGGTGGCTTCATGGTGAATTCTTTCAAAATTTAAGGAAGAAAGAATAATCATATATGAACTTTTGCAGGAAACAGAAAAAGATTGAACACTTCCAAGCTCATTTTATGAGGCAAGCATAACCTTGATTGTAAATCCTGATGAGAACATTTTAACAAAGGAAATGAATACAACCAACATATCTCCTGAACATGGATGCAAAAATCTTTGACAAAGTATCAGTAAATTCAATTCAGCATTAAAGTCTCTCACCCAATCGAGTGGGGTTTATCCTGAGAATGCAAGACTGGTTCAACATTCAAAAATCAATCAATGTAATTAACCATATTAATAGATCAAAGAGGAAAAAAACCACATGATCACCTCAACAAATGCAGAAAAAGCATTTGACAAAAGTCAACATCCATATATAATACAAACTCAGCAAACTAAGAATACAATACAAATTAATCTGATAAAGGCATCTACAGAAATATATACAGCAAACTCATAATTTTGAAATACTGAATACTTTCCTCCTGAGATTGGGAACAATAAAAGGATATTCACTATTATCACTTCTATTCAACATTATATTGAAAGTCTTAGCCAGCAAAATAAGGCAATAAAAAGGCATAAAGAGGTATTAAGATTGGAAAAGAAGAGAGAAAATGGTCATCACCTGTAGATGTCATGATTGTGAACACAGATAAACCAAAATAACCTGCAAATGATTAGAAATAATAAATGATTTTAGAAAGGCTACTGGATACAAACTCAATATTTCTATATACTAGCAACAAACAAGTAGAAATAAAATATAAAAATGCAATACCAATGACAATAGCATAAAAAAATCAACTATCCAGGAATGAATCTAACGAAAGAAATGCACAATCTCACCATTGAAGACTACAAAGTATTTGTTGAGAAGAATTTTAAAAGGCCTAAAAACTGGTGGAATATATTAATGAATTAGAAAGCTCAATATTGTAAAGATGTCTATTGTCTACAAATTGATCTATCGGTTTAATGCAATTCCAATTAAAATCCCAACAGGATTTTATGTGGAAATTGACATGCTGATTCTGAAATTTACATGGAAATGCAAAGGCCTTATAATAGCTTCAGCAATTCTGAAGAACATAGCTTGAGAACTTCATTACCAGGTATCAAAACTTACTATAAGGCTACAGTAATTTAGACACATACAACACATACACTATCATTCAACTTGTGACAATGTCTACTCTATAACTCACTGGGGAATCTGGAACAAGGGGCATCACTCACCTGTCCGGTCAACATCCTTTTTCATGGGCAGTACAGTATAATCCGGTTGCTCATCTGAGGCCTCAGTCATCCATGATTTGGGCTGTAGCATGGACTGGGGCTCTTTCCGGGGACTTCCCCTGCCTCCAACCCAGTCCCCTGACCCATCACGGAGCTGAACCTGCTGTAGGTACGGGATCCGGAAAATCTTGTTTTGGTCCAGGCTTAACTTCTTCAGTCTTCAATTAAGGAAAGCGAATACAGCAATAATGATACCTCAGGGATATTTACCAAGCAACTTTAGGGACAAAACATGGAATTAGGCTTGGACTCTTACTCCTCTTGAGTGATCCTGAGCCAGTTACTTACTCTCTCTGGGCTTCAATATCTTTATCTCTAACATGGGGATAATATTTATTAACCATTCAAGGTTCTTGTGAAGATTTAAATGAGACAATATGTAAATGGCCTGGCATAAAGTAGTATTCAGTAAATAGTAGCTGAATCCAAAGTAAATTTTCCAGGGACCTAAAGCTTAACCATTTAAATGCCAGTATTTTCTTTACTTCGAATAGATAGAATTCAGCAGTTCAATTTCTCTTTATGATTCTTTTTTCTTTTTTCCTGTCTCTTCTCTCAGGGTCAGGATCCTGTCTTAGGTAATATCTCCTCCTTAGGTAATATTCTCCTTTCTCTTTACTGCTTCTAATTCAGTTATGTGATCAGAAATTCCTTACTGTGCCCCATTTTTGTGGAAGAACTAAAGCTCAGAGGGAAGAAATGACTTACCCATGGCCACAAAGCATAGATAAGTGGTGGAGCTGGGATTTAAACTAGGCTTTTGGCTTCAGAGCAGCACTCAGTGTGTGAGCACGGCTGGGGGTTATAGAGGGCCCTGCAGACAGAAGCTTGTGGCTTTACCTCCTGAGCCCAGCCAGGCTGGCAAAGCAATTGGGGTTGGAGAGTTTGTTGTCATCCAGCATCAGTGTCTCCAGCGCTGGGAACTTCAGGATGTACCTCTTGCTTGTCAGTGATGTTTCAGATGCCTCCCTGTGAATGCAAAGATCTTGGGTAATGAGCAAGGGCAGGGGACAAGCTCCACCATTCCCAGGAAGCAGCGGAGGATAGGGAATCAATCGGGAAGTCTAACCAGCTTGGGAACTTCTCTAGTGCCCAACAGAGGTCCCTGTAGAGATGCACAGAAGGTGTAATTCCTGCCCGCCACCTTCCTCTTTTCCAAACTCCACCCACACATACTGTCTTCTGTATGGAGAAAGGTTACACACATCATTGAGACTGGGTTGGGGCAGGATGTGGGGGGACATTGATAGTGCTCATGGAAAATATCAGGGTGAATGAGGTGTGACCAAGTTGGAGGGAGCACTCTGTAGGTAGAACACTGCACAATTTTGGCTCAAGGCAGACTCCTTGGTATGCTGTGTCACCTCATGGACTGATAAACCATAGGAGCACCAAGAGACAATGCTGCTGTTATAGACCACAGCTTTGCCACCAAGTGGGGTAAAGTAGGCTGGATCAAGGGTGCCATCCCTGGCTGCAGTGAGGTTCTCCTTTCAAGTGACTTCATAAAATGCAAGGAAGGAGTTGAGAAGTCTCTTAAAGTCAAACTCTCTGAGGATTCCCAGAAATGCCTGAGAGTGAGATTCAAGGAGCTGATGTCTTAAATCACATAGGTGGACAGGAAGTGGAGGCATTTTAGGTACTACCATTAATGTGACCTCACTTGTGCCCCCAGGTAGATGAAGCCTAGGTACCTCTATTACAAACAGAGGCAGATAACTCAAGTCACATTTTCATTCTTCCCTCCACACTCCATCCCACTGACACTCCAAAACAGTACATATAGGCAGAAATACATATGGTATACACATATATATAAGCCACAAATGCACATACAACAAGAGGAAGGGAAATTAACATTTCTTTAAGGCCTACTGCATTCCTGGAATTGTGCTAAGCATTTTATATGTGTTATCTCAGAATAGCACTGAAAAGGATAGGTATTATTTATCTCCTTTTCTGATCAGAAAACTCAATATCAGAGTAACTTGCCTAAAGTCTCACAGCTAGAAAGTGATAGAGCTCAAACTAGAACCTAGGTCTTCTTGACTCCAAAAACCCAGGCCCTATCCACTGTGGCATACCAGCTCTCACATTCACATCTTCAAGCCCCATGTGGATTAAAGAGTGTGGAGATGGAAGGGGTATCCATTGCCTGGGCTAGAAAGAGCTTAACTAAGGTAGGCAGTGAGTTCAAAAGCTAGGACTGTAATAAACACCTGAAGTCAGGAATAGATCACAGGTGAATTTAGAGAAGGTATACTCTCTTGAAATGAATGAATTACTAATTCATTTGTTCATTCACACTCATGAATTTTTTTAACATATATTTATGTAGCCAGGTACTAAGAAGACAAAGAAAAAAAGAACACATCCCTCCCCTCAAGGTGCTTACAGGAATAAGTGGACACACTGTACACAGTGGGACAAATACTATAACAGAAGTAGATGAGGAAGGCACCTACTTGGGGAAGGCAATGTGTGAGTGAAAGCATGAAGATTGGAGAGAGAATCTACCATGCTCTTAACCACTGTGAAAGAGAGAGAACAGAGAGAAAAGTCATTTCTTTGTGGCTGGATTTGTACAACATAATTAGCAGCTCTGGGCAGCCATATTTCCCATCACGGGGTCCAGAGAGACACAGGCAGTCTATCCGTGAAGAAAAACGTGGCGAGAGACAGAGAGGAGCAGATGTGAAAGTTGAGAGACAGAACTTCTAGGCTGCTCCACAGTGCTCAGGACCTATGTTCACTATGTCCCTAAGGCATGGCTATGAGATTCCTCAATGTTCTTGCAATAAATTCCCCATTTTTTTGCTTACTCTAACACTGACAGACTTCTGAATATTGTAACTATGACAGTGCTAACAAAAAAAGAAAAAAAAAGGACAGGTCATGTAAGGTTTCACAAGGAGCCCTGGCAGCAGTGTGGGAATTAGGCATGAAGTCCAAAGCCCAGAGACACTCAGCAGAGAAGGCAGGAAGCCTTTAGTTCACAACATGTCAAGGTCACAGGTGACTCTCTTCCTCTTTCTGGAAGGACCAACTTTCATACACTGAATTTTTAATCTCTGAGAACAATTACAGGACAGTGCCTAGCAGCTCTGTTGATTTATAATTGATGGGCCAATCTTTATTTACTCCAGTGAAATAGGAAACAGCTAAGAAATAAGCCTTCGAAAAATTCCTCTTAAGTTCTATAATGAAGAAGTTGATTCTGTCCTGTCTCTTGTGACAAGTTATACTGCTTTGTCTTTTTAAAATTCTACCCTAATTATAGCATGGGCAAGTTTCATTTTTGTCTCTAAAATAGGGGGGCAGTCATCAGATGGGTGAGGAGGACAGATGCCAGGCTTCAGAGGAAAGCATCAGGCTCTCCCACTGAGCCCTTCCGGTGGCAGTTTTGGGAGAGGAGCACTTTGAAGTGGCAGAGTCTGTCAGTAGTGGAGAAGCCACGGTTTCCAGCTGCTCAGAGTGGTGCTATTTTTATTATCCCTTCTCTTGGCAAACAATTAATACCATTTAAAATCTGAGAGATTTAACTTAATTGTTTTAGAAGCTAAGAGTGTACGCAGTGGTGGGATTCAGTAACAGGAATTTGTGTGCCATGTTAGGAGAAGCATGGGAGGAGGATCAGGATCCCTGAGCTCTTGCGCAGGTGCTACTGCTGCTTTGCTTGCTGTGTGCCTTCTGGCTAGTGTTGAGATTCTCCGGGCCCAGATCCTTCATCTATATGGTAAAAGGGTATTTCTTTTACTTTACATTGTAAGGCTTTGGATTATGCTAAAAATATCACTCCACAGACTGAACCAAGGGCTGCAGCAAACAAGATGAAACTCAGCAAGTGCTTATGTTAGGACAAATGTTGGATCAGCTTCTGTGTTAAGATACAGAAAACCCACTGTACAAACACACAGAATAAGGGAGACATGACTTAACAGACTATCTGTGTAAAAGAGGACTTATGATGTGGCCGCAAAAGAGCTAGTGCTCTTTTAGATAGCATTATTAGGAATACAGTGACTAACAGAAAGGAGGTAACATTCCCCCTCTGCTCTGTGCTGGTCACGCCTGAGAAAGCCAACTTGTGTGGTCTGAGGCTGAAAGAGAATAGGCCTAATGGGACAGCCAAAGTAGCAGATCTCAGCTCAAAACTATTAATAGTTATAGAATAGTCTAAAGGCAGAGTGGGTCAAATATGATTCCCCTAAGTCACCCAGACAGAGATAATAGCAAGAAATGAAGATACAAGTGGTTCAGAACAGACGAGGTATATCATGAATGGAAAAAGTGAAGAGAAAGGAGGATGGAAAAGCAGGCAGAGTCAAGCCTTGTGAGTAGTGTTAATGGAGTTTATCTTTAGGACATTGGGAAGCTACTGAAGGACTTTAAGCAGGACAGTTACAGAACCACATGTGCATTTTAGAAAGATCACTCTGGCTGACAATAAGGAGGATGGGTTGGGAGATGAGAAACTGGAGACTGAGACCAAACAGGAGGATAAGAGAAATGAGCAGGTTTGAGAAAAATTTAGGAAGTATAATTTATAGCATCTGGTGATTAAATGGATGCATGGAGTGAGGGAGGGCAGAGTTTAGGCTGATGCCCAAGGTTCTAGCCTGGACAACTACACAGTATATGGAGGGAAGTGCCAGTCGCTGAGGCCAGGGTAGGAGAGAGAGGAGGAGACTCTGGCATGCAGATGTGTGTGATGAGTTTGGTATGATAAGTAGGCTAAACGGGCTTATAGCTCAGAAGATGTGGGAAGGAATGAGACACCAATAAAGAGTATAAAGATTAAGAAAAACAGTAGGTTGAGGGTGAACAACTGGGAGCACCAACGTTTAAGAGGCTGGCAGAAGAAGAGGAACCCTCAGAGCACACTGGGAGTAGATAGATGGGGCAGAAACTAACGACAACGATTTGTCTGGAGCCCCACAGCTGTCACAGCACACCGATTTCAACTGACACTGTGCTGCAGGTGGGAGCATATTTATTCTCCCTGTTATATATAAGGAAATGGAAGTGTTGGGGGTGGAGTCTTGTCTTACTTTATATAACAAGGCTTTTCACTGAAAACAACTAGAATGACGAATAAAATTTAAAAAGAAAAATATCCATCATTTTAATCAGTATAAGAGACATGAAAACAGTTAAGGAGGCAGTATGCCAAATCTAAAAACCCAGAGAGAGAAACTGAACACAGAGAGTCACTTTAGCTTTAAAGGCGTTCACTAATCCTGTTGAAACTGAACTATGGTTTGACAGTATCATGGGGCCAGAGAATCAAAGCCCAGGGCACATTGAAGGTGGGGCATTTAATCAGAGACCACCCCCTCACGTGAATCTGGAATCCTAAAGGGATATACCTTCAGAATGGAGTGAATCGGAACTAAACCCATTCCCTTCATCCCACAGCCAGGGAAAAATTGTCTTTGAACAGAAAAGGGGAAGGTGGAGACCAGGCTGGTCCCTCTTGCAAAACTATATGGCAAATCTGTATCATCAGAGTAGTCCAGAAAATACCCAGTGAGGAATTTAAACTGATTCCATACTGAGTGCCCCTAGGCACCTGGCCAAAATAAATTGAAAAGCTTATGGTATTGCAGACTAAATAATGTGGGCCAACTCTTCCTTGAGTAAACTAGAAAATCCAGACAAAATATACATTTAAAAACAATCTGCTGTAAGGTACCCGGGAACTAACAAGCTGTGAAGAAATTATGGGGCCAAGATTTGAAAAAAGAAAGAAATCCAAAGAAGTTCAGATAACCCTAGGGCTGTCTGCTGACTCCAGAACTGGCAGAGAGGCTGAGAAGTTGGGCAGAGATTCTGACAATCTTGTTGGCCTAGGAGCCAAAAACTGGAGTCTGAGGAGGGCCACAGAATGGAAGCCTGACTGTTTGTGCACTAAGTTAGGGCATTAGAAGACTAAATCCTAAAAGGAAGTGTGCATTAGAAATAGTATG